GGTTCTTCCAAGTTTATATTATAAATGGCGGGACTTTGTCAGTGACTGTAATCGGATGTCCTCCTCCCGCAGTTTATCGCTCAAGCTATTGTTGTACATTCTTTATAACATTCATATAACATAGATAGTTTGAGTTAGGCGTGTTTGCTAGCAGGTTCGGTCATCTTGCATGTAAGAGTCTTTGAAGTATTTTGAATCACTATGATATTTGATAATAACATCTCAAAACTCACTGAGCGATAAGAACTGTCTTGTGACAGGGAAGGTTACCTAGACAAAGTGGTGATTCAAAGAGATGCTGGTAGATGAATTTTGAAGATTCCAAACTTGTGCGCAGAAGGTGATATTTCTGAAATTGTGATTTTGTCAGACGATAAACCCTTGCATTGTTGTTTGGTTATTCGCATTTTAGGTCAAGTATTAATAGGTCATATATTTTGGGAAGGGAACCTTTATAACTGTTTTTGGAGGAATGCTTCCAGATAAGTAAAATATCTTTGGAGTCAGCATTTCAAAATCAAACAAACTTAAACATCTATCTTCGCCGCCTCAACTAAGTATACTTCCTTGTTTGCTGTAATTCTTTCTCTAGACTGAGTTTTTGTACCGTTTGATTTTGCTTTTCTCTTATAATTATTTTCAATGAACCTCACATTTCAGGTGAACTTGTTGTGGAACTGCAGTGTCGTCACATTTTCCATAGCCCATGCGTTGTACCTTGGCTTCAGCAACGTCCATCATGTCCGATATGTAGACAAGAAGTCATTGCATCGCAGTTTCCGGACCCGGCTCCTGGGGCTCCTACTGTCTCGGTGAGTTCTTGCTTTATAATGTTTATGAGCTAGTCGTTAGGTACGCACAACGAGTCATTTTGGATGTTTCATGGAAAGCCTAGCCTTTTGTAATGGGTTTCAATCAGTTTTAGATCGTAGAAATTGAACAAGTTAAGAGAAATGAGATGTTTTTTGGATTATCAATAATTTGCATTGAACACAACTTTACTCGCCTCAGAACAGAAGGAAATACCACTTTTACAGAAAATTTTCAGAGCTTGGAGGCAAAGCACGATTTGATTGAACCAGAACTGGATTGAAATGGTGATTTGTAATACGTGATTGCTACCATGTCTTTACATTATATCTTGCACTCGTGTGGAATTCTGGTCACTTGTTTTTCAAAAATGCATATGAAACAAGTGTTAAATATCATTATTAATATTTTTCTGCAGCAGAACTGATCCTTCTGTTATCTTCTAATTTGAATTTTTTT